CTAAGTTATTGGAATGCTTCTGTGACTTGACTATCTTTTGGCTATTTTTGATGAGTGGGAGTGACAGGCGTGTCAACTCTAAGCTCTTAGCTGTTAGAGATAGTACTTAAAGTTAACTTATAAAGAAGTCATAGAATATAGTTAGCATTATGCTAACATTAAGAGATCTCTACTTAAGGCATGCTTATAAAGTTTTAGAGATCATACAGTGTACTCTTTTGTACAATTTGGATGCGTTTTCTCCTTCAGTTGTGCACATAATGTATTTTGAGAAACATCCCTTAAGGTACCGAGAATAAACATAGGGTTTGTTCATTGAGGACCTAAGTTGGAGAATTAAAATGCATGTGACCATAATGGACACTACTCTGATTAAATAGAGGACATGTCACTATGATTCGTGTGTTTTGTTCTTTGATGAAGGTTGTGCTAGTACTTGCACAAAGTGGGAGAATGTAAGATTTTCCCTAATAATATATATTATACATTATATATTAGGGCCTTAATTAAGTGGTGCAAGTTGACTAGGCTTATTAAGTGGTCTGGTTGGACTTAATAACTAGTAGTTGTTAGTCAACCAAACTTTGTGCCTAATATAACCTGGATTGATGGGATACAGGATTATGGATTAGATAGCACATTCAGTTACGGTACTCAGACCGCTCAGTAGATACCAATACACCATCTAGGGTTCTGAGTCAGGTCTGAGGCAAAACATGGCTGATGGTCTACCGTTAAGAGGCAACACAACAGGAACATCAACTATGGCTGGAGATCTACACGGCTACGCTTCCGCTATCATACGAGGTTAGGTTTCTCGTATACTATGGTTCATATAATTAGACTATTGTATATCTAACATTCCCTACACCCAAATGCTCATTAAGCCCCCTTTTTATTGCAAACCCATGAACATCCTGTGTCATAGTTTTCCCTGAAACCCGAGAACAAGCAGATAGAACAGACACCAATGCCACAGCATCAACATACACCTCCTTAATATCACTAAGTTCCTCCAATTTACCACTGTTTTTATGCATGTCGTTAGAAACTAAGCAAGTAGCAGTCCAATGGCTTACCTCAATGTCTGGATTCATCTTTGCTACATCGGAATTGGCGAAGATCGATTCATCATTTGGAATCCTTTCATGATCAAAATTAGCAAGCTTCTCCACCAATAGTTATGCTGTACAACCGAATGCACCATGCGCATGGTGCATACGATGCAAAACGACGTCGTTTTGACTAAAAACGCGCGTTCCACTTTTAAAAAAAAAAATCAGGTTCAATTCTCGGCAATAGCATTATTGTGGATATATAGTTATGAATTTCTGGATATATAGTTATGAATTTGTGGATATATAGTTATGAATTTATGAATATTTAGTTCATTCATTGTGGATATTTAGTTCATTCATTGTAGATATTTACTTCATTCATTCACTGTGGATATATAGTTATGAATTTATGGATATTTAGTTCATTCATTGTGGATATTTAGTTCATTCATTCACTGTGGATATTTAGTTAATTCATTGTGGATTTTTACTTCATTCATTCACGGTGGATATATAGTTATGAATTTATGGATATATAGTTATGAATTTATGAATATATAAAAATGCTATTGCCGGGAATCGAACCTGATTTCTTCTTTAAGTGGAACGCGCGTTTTTTAACCAAAACGACGTCGTTTTGCATCGAATGCACCATGCGCATGGTGCATTCGGTTGCACAGCATAATTTGCGCAATATCATTAGAATTAGCAAGGATACATATCTTGGGAATTACCTTGGGCTTCCTTCATTAATAGGAAGAAATTAAACAAGAAAGAGATCTTAAATTTCATTAAACACAGGATTGTTAGCAGGTTGCAAAACTGGAATAACAGATTTCTGTCAAGAGCAGTGAAGGAGGTTTTGATCAAGAACATGATTCAGGCTATCCCCACCTATGCCATGAATGTATTTCTTGTCGCGTTAGGTATTGTAAAGGAGATTGAGGCTATATGTGACATATATATACTTAATCAAAGGGATGCTGCCTTGATTTTAAATATACACTTGTCTGCAGTAGCTAGATATGATTTGCTGATTTGGACTAAAGATGTTAATGGGACTTTCTCAGTTAAAACATGCTACAGAGCCTTGATGGGGGGCTGAAAGTGTGAAGTGGTCTATGGTCTGGAACCTGAAATTCCCTCCAAAAGGCAAATCTTTTTTTCTGGCAATTAAGCTGCAACAGATTGTCTTCCAACAAATGTTTTGTTACGTCAACCCCGGGTGAATTGTTCTTGTTACGAAAGTGAAGAGAGAGAGTTTCTAATGTGCTGTCGTATATTATCTACGAACAGGAAACAAGTTTCCATATGTCCTACCTACCTAAAACTCTAAATTGCCCAATATATAGAGATTCTATATATCAAATATATATTCCATAACACTCCAAAGTTGGAGCATATATTTTAATAAACCAAAATAACTAAATAACAAATAACTCAAGTTCATTTAGGACACCCCTTTGAAACGAAAGCCTTGAACGCCACCAAACTCACGAACAACGGGTGGCCGCAAAGTGACCGAACAAGCTTGAGATTGGATACTTATACTCCCCCTCCAACGAAAGCTTCGAACGCCACGAATCTCACGAACAACGGGTGAATGCAAAGTGACCGAGCAAGTTTGAGATTGGATACTCATACTCCCCCTCCAACGAAAGCTTCGAACGTCACGAATCCCATGAACAATGGCTGAACACAAAGTGATCGGACAAGCTTGAAATTGGATACTCTTCTGAAACGAAAACTGTGAACGCCACCAATACCGCAACTCCGAGTGAACATAAAGTGGACCGCAGAAGCTTGAACAAAGACAAACTCCAAACTGGAGGACACAAATTCTTTACTAACAAAAGGGAAGTATCTTGACTAACAAAAGGAAAGTATGCTCCAAATGACGAGCATCAAAAAGGAGAGACAACACCAAAACGAATGAGAGATAACACCAAAGCGAGGCAGCACTAAAACACGAAACGAGACAACACTAAAACACAAAACGGACTCCATCCTTCTAGAGGTTAAGAGAGACACCAGCCGCAAGCCCATCACTAATAACCCTCTCCGTCACAAGATTCCAAGGCAGCAGCAGCACAACTATACTCAACTATACTCAACCATACCCACCAAAACAAATCACAAAATCACACCAAAACAGACTTATTTTCAGTCATACCCACCAAAAACTAAACTCAAACAGGTCAGAAAACACACAAAAAAGGGGGCCTAAAGGGGTACGAAACAACCTGACCGTAGAACAAAAATCACGGAAGCCAAATGGTCCAAACTAAGTCCAGAACTGAGAAGTGGGGACTTAGGCAACCCAGAAACTGTCGTCGGAAAATTTTTCTGGTGGCCGGAGACTTACAAAAGTGAAGAGAGAGAGTTTCTAATATGTTGTCGTATATTGTCTCAAGCTGTCATAGAATAGAGAATACACAGACCTATAAATAGGTACTAGAAGACTACGAATAGAAAACAAGTTTTCATATTTCCTACCTACCTAAAACACTAAATTTTCTAATATATAGATATTCTATATATCAAATATATACTCCATAACAGTTCTCTACATAGTTTATCCCAGGTTATAGTTGAAACAGATGCACAAATGATTATCCAGAAGTTGAGTTCTCCTACCACGGTATCTTCTTTTGATCTTGTTGTGCTAGACTCTGTTAGTCTGCTAGACCAATTATCACAAGTGTCTTTAACTTTTGTGTCTCGATCTGCGAATTGAATGGGGTTGCCCATTGTATCATTTTAATTACACTTTAGTTTCATTTAACAATATTGTTCTATTTTCAGTTTCATTCTCCCCACACACTAGTTTCGTTATAGCAATACTAACATATCATTTTAATTCTAGAGTGAATTCCATTTTTGGTCCTACTGTTATAGGGGCGTTTTCAATTTTAGTTCACCTTAATTTTTTTTGCCACTTTATAGCCACTATTATTGAATGTGTTCTACTTTTAGTCGCACCGTTAGTATTTCCATCAAGAAGCCGTGTAATCTAGGGATATTTTGACCTTTTTTCTCATCCAAGACTATGTTTGACTAAAGAAATGAGAACATTAAACCTAAAACCTAAGAAACCTCGCCGTCCCATGTTGGAACGAACGAAACGATGTAGCTTTGGCTTCCCATTCTCGTTGTTCGAAGAGCCATCTTCGAATATCGGAGGAGAAGGACGAAGCGCCTGGATTAAAAGAGAAGAGACAAACATAAAAAGACCAAAATACCCTTTGATTATACGGCCTCTTGACGGAAATATTAATGGTGGACTAAAAGTGAAACACATCTAATAACAGTGGTTGTAAAGTGGCAAAAAAAAATTAAAGTGGACTGAAATTGAAAACGTCCCTATAACAGTAGGACCAAAAATGGAATTCACTCTTAATTCTACCATTATTGCATGAACTCTATTTTGTCGCCCACACCCCGGCCTGACAGAGCATTTGGGTCGTACATGAACCATAGAGGCTAGACCGATGCTCGGCCCGGCCTGACAGAGCATTTGGGAGGATGTAAATCATGGTGACTCAATCGTACATGAACCATAGAGGCTAGACCGATGCTCACTGCGCACACTCAATCGTACATGAACCATAGAGGCTAGACCGATGCTCACTGCGCACAAAGAGCCCCCCTCACTGCCGCTGGTGAGACTCGATCCCTCACTTTAAGAGGTTGCTCCCACACTGCCGCTGGTGAGACTCGATCCCTGGTCATTCTTCCAAAGTTTCACCTCGATCCCTGGAATAGAAATGATTAGGCTAAGGATAAATAATGGGATGAAACCTTTATAAAATAAGAGAATGAATTTATTCATTTTGGTATTCCAAACTCATAGTATAGTGTTTTAAAAACCAAACAATAACAATCACTTTCATACCTCGTACCTGAGTCTAAACCTGCCAACCAAACACACTCAATTAGCATTTAGCATTCTGATTCCCTTCGGCTTCCATTACCCGCGAAGGCCAAAACCTAACATCAGAGGGCAGAGGCAACAGAGGTAAGGGTAACTCTTCCTAATCTCCTTTTATTTACGAAATCTTGCAGATTCTCCGAACGATTTTGGCTTTTGATTTCGACTGACGCCTCATTGTTGTTTCAGTTTAATGGCTCAAAGTCGGCGAATCGAAACCCTACCCGATGCAAGTAAGGATCTAATAAGTCATATGCCGGTAGAGGTAAAGGACAGAATTTTGGAGTGTTTGCCCACTCGAGACGCTGCCAGAACTGCTGTGCTCTCAACCCACTGGAATGATATTTGGTTGCAGCATGGGCGGCTTGCGTTTGATTGGAGCTTCTTCGGGTGTTTCGGAGAATTCGGATAACATACATTCTCTTGCAGCGTGTTCGACCCATGAAGAAATTTAGTCTAGACATCATTGCCCTCGGATTACTTGATCCTAAGCTGGAGCAGTCCGATTTAGATCAGTGGTTTCTTTTTCTATCAAGAAATGGCATTGAGGAACTTTATATCTCTCATGGGGACAGGCGATATAAGCTGCCACTTTGTATATTCTCGTGCCCGACAATCAAGCAGCTGAGACTCTGCAGTGTGTATTTTGATTTCCCACTAAATGCTCCTTGTATTTTTCCCTGTGTCTCACTTCATTAGCTTTCAGGGGTGTTGTTTTTAATCATAATGTTAATGGAATTGTGTATAGTATTCCTAATCTTGAGAATCTTGAGTTAAGTTAGTTGTAGAGGAGGGATCAATAATTTTAAGATTAGTGCTCCAAAACTTGAAAGCTTGTCCATTGGTGGTCATATATGTGCGGTTAAATCGAGATGGTTTGCACTTCATTTGAAAGAAATTAAGGTTCTATGCATGGAGGGCTACTTGTTGTTGGTGAGAATCTATCTTCCTTCATATATGGACTATAGTATTGACAGATTAAATATTCTTTTCCTTCTGGTTTGTTAGAGTGGTTTTCAAGTCTCATATAATCTTTTAATTATTTTTGTTGAAGAATTGGGAAGATGTTGAAGTAGCCTCCTTCCCAACTGCAATAAATCTGCAAGTAATCAAACTGTATTCTTTAAAGTTTGCCAATGAAAAGCAGCTCAAGGGTGTTTTGCAGTTGCTTCAAAAATCTCCCAACCTATGTGAACTGGACATTACAGGAGTAAGTTTTGCTAGACAGAAACCTTTATAGAGTATATATTTGGCCATGGTGATTTTTTTGTTTTCTTTATTTCCTCATGGTTAGCTGTACATGTTTTTATTTTATTTTATTTTATTTGTTGTTGAGTTGTATGTAGATATGTTCAGATGGTGACATACAAGCTGCTTCAACACTTTTGAAGGATCGAGAGAGTTGCATTATTAATCAGGATCTTAAAATGCTTAAAACAATCAAGATTAAACTGTTTTGTGGATCCACAATTGAAATGCTTTTTGTGAAAATGCTGCTCTCAAAATCCCCTATACTAGAGAGAGTTGTTATTACGGAATCTGATTATATAAAAGATGGCTACACGGTGATCAAGTTCCTAAGGGAGTTGCTATGCTTCCCTCGTGCATCTCCAAAAGCAAAAATTGTCATCAAGGGCAAAGACTATGCTTAAGGACTGGTTGGTTTAACTATGCTTCAGTTTTTATGCAACTTAGATATGGTGGAACTTGAAATGTTCTGTTAGATAAGAGGATGACACCTTAGATTGTTTACTAAGGTATTCAGTAGACTCCACGAATATCTTTTTGTAAATTTTTGCTCTGTTAATTGCACTAAAATTTACTTCAGATGATGTGATGTTGGTGCTTACTGCTTAGCCAAGTGTTCTTATGACTGAAATGCAATGGTGTTTCTATTTTCATTTTTCGAAAATACTAGGTGGATTTTTATTTTTTACTCTCAACTTTTATTCCACACACACAATCTTGATGTACACATTTATATTGGGACCCACATGAAAATGAGTAGTTTATTAGTGCCCGTCACAACAATGAATGAAATTTAAGGAGTAAGATTTGGGAGTCCAAATAGTTGAATTCGAATAAAATTTAAAGAGTAAGATTTGGAAGTCCAAATAGTAGAATTCTTTAATTTTTAAAGCTCATATTTCTTTGGGTGCAATCTGCCTGAGAACCAATTGAACTACTCATAACGGTCTCATATCCTTATTTCCTATGGAGTATGCATAATGCAACTTGGATTGTGTGATGCATTGTAGTTCTAATATTTTGTTAGTGTCTTAAAACAATTGCAGTATTGTAGTTAATATGTCCAACCATAAAGAATTTAAAAGAACGGCTCCACATCATATTGTCTTCTCAATCAGTCCGAAGTACATATATTGTTTTTACATATGAAGAATCAATATTTATTAACTTATTATAGTTTGAAATCTCCCAAGTTATATATTGTTTTTACATATGAAGAATCAATATTTATTAACTTATTATAGTTTGAAATCTCCCAAGTTAATACGTTATATTGAAAAATTCATTGACTAACGTAGTTGAGTTTTGCATTCCTCCATAAAATTTGTACATGACTTTTCAAGTTAATACATTATTTTGGGATCTTGATATACATTGATTCCATTTCAATCAAATTGTAAACTTTTTGAAGATTTAATAAATTACTTCATATATGCGGTATTTTTTTGCTTTAATTAAGTTAACATCATCTAGCATTGAGTTCATAACATTGTGTAGCGGGAATTAGACACTAATCCTCACATCTAGGAGATCGATAAACAAGAGTATTATGTGGTCATAGATTGTTTGCCATAATGAACAAGCAAATCATAGGCCAATTACTACTCACTAAATCATTTTCATCTTAAGCTAGGTCCAATAAAAACCACTCACCAACAATGTCTACTTTTGAAGGATACCAAATGGGGAGTTGTGCACCACTACATTTAACTTTGAAGGACCCTCATACCAAAAGGGAAATGTATGTCATCATTAAATTCAAACAATTTCTTCTTTTTAACATTAAACTTTGCATTCATACATTTTGTAACATGTAATGATGACATTTCAAGTGTTAGAAAGCAACAAGTTGCCCTTCAACTAGAAGTACTTTAAACTTTGAATCTTTAAATGACCTAAGCTTCAAAGTATGCAACATTTTGTGTGTTTAAGACACAATATGATGTTCCTCCAAAAGTTTTGATATAGCATCTTTACAAGTAGATACCACTACGTCAAACTTAGAAAACCAAAGAAAAAAAACATCACAAGGTGAATTTGGTCAATGGTACGTATAGCTACCAGATAAAAAAATCATGTAAAATAATTTAATTAGGGTCCTTTTAAAAATATTTAATAAATAAAAATACATTTAAATTTGACTTAAAATGTAACATTGCATCTTTTGATGCAAACCATATTATGGCAAAAACATGTATTTGGATTAAAATCATGAATAATGTTGGTGAATAGATGATTATATATATATATATATATATATATATATATATATATATATATATATATATATATATATATGTTTATTGATGATACGAGTATATCCACAGTAGAAGAAGTGAAAATCAAGAATTGGGAGAAAGAAAAGAAACAACCCATGCTACTAGGCCAAGGAGAAAACGAAGGAAACCGGCATGGATGGTTGATTACATTTGTTAGACTAAGGTTATTCGTAATAGGATACATTAGTTTAGTCCTACTACATTATTATATCATATTAATTAGGAATCATAGTCCTAAGCATAATAGGAGTAACTTAGTATATAATCACCCTGCATGCTAGGGGAAAGACATGCGAATTATTATTATCTTTTTCTTCTCTACTATCATCTTCCTTCTCTGAAATCTCTCTCCCTCTCTCTCCCTCTCTCTCTCTGATTTTCCCCTCCCCTAATTCCATCTTTGGAGTCTGCATCCACTCAAAGCGGTGCCGGCTTGATACGGGTTCGTATCAATTGATCAGAGTAAATATAAACTAGATTATTCTAAGACTATAAGATTGTAACTTTTGTGAGTTATATGTTTTTACTTTTTCACTTTTTCCTTTGTCGTATTGCCGCAAACCACAACCATAGAGAATTTCACAATTGGTATACCAATTGAAATTGATAGGGATTATTCTTCGGATATACTTCTCTATACATTTGGGGCATCTGTTCGGTATTGGGTCATGATCGAGTGTCCCTTAGAAAATATTTTATTCCTAAAAGATTCCCTATCCCCGAAATTCTGACCCCATCCCCATCCCCATCCCGTTCTCGAAACTCTGACCCCATCCCCGTCCCCGACGGATAAATAAGAATAGTCCCCATCTGGTTTCAGGCGGGAAATTAGGCGGGAAAATGACATACTAGCTTCAAACTAGCACACAACCTTATGAATTTAAAATTAAATATTTACATAAAAATAGTAATAATTAACACTCATCATACATTAAAACATTTTATAATTGAAAATTTTATTTACTTTTTTTAACCTATATAACATCATTAACATGTTATATATATTTTGTATCTATCATAGAAATGATTATACATATGTATATTATTTTGGTATTTTTGAATATACATTTCATTAAAAAAAATAGAAATATATACATACATTTTTTTTATCGTAATATAAAGTATATTTTTTTTCTTTAAAAAAAAATTAAAGGAAGGAAAAACCTGTTTTTGAAAATTTTCTTCTGATGTTGGTTGCCTGGCGGCTGGCGCTCCGGTGGAGGATGACGGCGGTAATTGGTGTCGTTGATGCCTTCGTCTTCACAAACTATTATTTCAACCTTTTCGTTTAATTTTCTTAATTATGCCCATCGTTTGTGTTAGTTTCCTTTGATCTCGTATCAGATTTGATTATACATTATCCGACTTCGTGTTACTTGATCCACCAGCATAGACAGTTAGTTAATCATGTTTGTTTGAGGACTACTAATAATGCATTATATGTTCATAACTACTTTCTCAACCTATTGAAGCACAAAGAGTGACTCTGTTACAATGCAGTATTTGTTCATATCTACTTTCTCAACCTATTGAAGCACGAAGAATCAGTATTGCCAACCTATAACTTCCTAGAAGAGCAACTTGGTGCTACTTGACCACAAGGTCATTGATTTGTTCGAGCAGGTTCACTTTAAAACTATATTGTATCATATGTATATGTTATGAGGCATTCGTAGGTGATGGATGATACACTAGGCCTGGGCCACATATACCGGCCCAAGAAAGTAACTGGATGAAGGAAGCCCAGGAAGGATACCTAATACGGAACAACTCAAGAGTTCGCCAAGGATTAGGCTTATTATTCCCAATATATTCAGAATTGGACTCATTATATTATTTCATGTATAATAGAATTAGGTCTCGTTATTCCCCATGTAACTAAGACTCCCAATATGAGGCAGCCTAGAATTCTTATTTTCTTGTAGGGTTCTAGGTCCAAAATATGTATAAATAGACTCCTCACATAGAAGAGAGGGACAACTTTCATTATTCACCAGCAATACTCATCAATACAAAGTTCCTATATTTTCTCCATATATTTTCCCTATATTTCTCCTATATTTTCGTTATTCTAACAGTAGTGTTGGCCTACCGTTGGCTGTCCAAAAGTCATAAAACCAACATTTGCGCCATATGTGGGGACCGATACGAAAAGTTTACGTTCGTCCCTCAAACCTAAAGGTGTGGGGCTGCTTAGCCAAAGTAGGACTACCGTCCTTCAAGAGGCCAAATCTGGGATCTAAAACTCTAGATGCCATTTTTGTTGGGTATGCTGAGAACAATGTTGCGTATAGATTCATGCACTTAGAAAATCATTCAATGTGTGAATCTAGAGATGCCATCTTTTTTGAAACCTTCTTTCCAATGAAAAAGGACTATACCAAAAATGATGTCAGCTTGTACCAAAATTCTCCTCCTTTACCTCCTAGTTTCACAAGTAATTTTGAGGAGCCTAGAAGAAGTAAAAGGCCTAGAATAGAGAAAAATTTTGGTTGTGATTTCATAACTTACATGACAGAGTTAAAAGACTTGAATGAAATTTGTGATCAATTCATATGTCAATTAGTCCTAGAAGAAGAACCAAAAACCTTTCATGAAGCTATGCGCTTGGTAGATTCCACGTTGTGGAGAGAAGCTGTTAAAAGTGAATTAGACTCTATACAGTCAAATCACACATGGGAGT